GTCAGTCTGTCTTTAAGGGATTATAACGGTCAGTCTGTCTTTAAGGGATTACAACTGTCAGTCTGTCTTTAAGGGATTATAATGGTCAGTCTGTCTTTAAGGGATTATAACTGAAGTGATGCGCATTTGAAGTTATTTACTTAGCAGATTCTTAGCAGGGTCAGCCAGGCTCCCCAGAGCAACGGAGATTAAGAACCTTGAGAACAGTGATAGGACTACTCACCAGGATTGGAACCCAAAACCTTCTGGACATGGCCAGAAAGCTATAGCCTGCTAAGATAAACTCTAGCCACTCTGATGTCCTCCATCCATCCATACATCCTGGATGGTATGCCAGAACATTTCAGGGCACATACATTCAACCAGGGGTGGCCAATCTTATCTGCAAAGGGCCAGTGTGTATGCGGGTATTCGCTGCAACTCCCTAATTAGATTACTAATTAGAGGACTGATTGGCTGAAGAGTCCTCACACCTGGGTTTGAACAGCTGACCTACAGGTTATCCCAAAAACCGGCCCTTTTGCGGATAAGATTGCCCACCCCTGCACTAAGCCATGTATAATACAGAAGGCAGGCCATAGTACCATACCTGTTACATTTGGTTTGAAGCTTATCATTAAGCACAGGCTTCCTGGTATGGCATACCCTACCTGTAAATTTATGGAAATGATTAACAATGGGTTTAAAATAAATTGCACAAAATAAAATTATTAACTAAATTATTAACTAAAGAAACAGCCTCACCATCCACAATACAGCATCGGGATCATTGATCTGGGAATAAGAAAAAAACAGAGCAAATAAGAAAACGTTTTTAGTAACAATACATCATGTGTTATTTTTCCCTGTAATGACCGTGATCATGGAACGTGCCTCGTCACGTCAATCCGTGTAACAGCTAGATAAACGGGAAGGAGCATACGGATTGCAAACTGAGTTAGATCGGTAACTTGCCTGTACATAAGTCGCTAAAGTAAAAAATATACACATGCAGAGATTGCAAAATCGCCATAACATCCTTGAATACCCTGTTTCGGTTTTGTCCATCTTTTCAGTAATTCAAACTAGTTACGAATTTCTCCGTAACACCGAAAAAAGTTACATATAAAACTTCGACCCCGGATAAGATCACGTGTTTGGCGCAGTGTATATTGGGTAATAGAGTTTTTCTGTGAGCTTGAATGTTTGTTTTTGATAAAGATTTTCTCTATTACTACATATTGGCTGTTTGTGCACCACTCGGGGGTTTTGACTGGACAGAACAATCAATTCTTGTTTTAAGAAATATAGTTTTACACATACAATTCATAGGTATATTTTTGAGCATATTAAATACTTTATTGCATTATGATGGACTAATTACATTTAATGTAAATTTTTATTTTTTGTTTGGATATGAATTAATGTATCATGTCAGTGGTAAACATTTGGACAGACTGAGGAAACAAATAATTTGTATCGTTTCTGTTTGTCTGGAATTTGCAGAGAGCCGATGTACATTGATGTTGGATAGACAGCTGCATATTCTGATAGTCAGGGCATTCGTACACAGAGCCACTGCCGACCTTAATCATAACCACGGAACGTGAGACAGACTCTGGGCCAGCTAAATGGGAATTTATTTACACCTGTACAGTTTAGCCCGAGACTAGGGAATATTCCAAAAGCCCTAATTATTCAAGAGCCAATGGTATAAGGGCAATGCTGAGCGACGACCAATGAAATCGCTTTTCCGGACGGTTCCGAAACCCTACGTTGGGCCGAGCTTGCAGGCCGAGCAGGCGCGGAAATCGAAGGGTGGGGGGTGCATTATCGCGACTAACTTTCGATCAGCTGAGCGCAAGTGCGGGTCTTGCGGTGCGGGTTTCCGAAGCCGGGTGTCCATGTATCTGATTTGAAATGGTCTGAATTCGAGAAAGGCGACGTCTGCGGCTGCGTGGAGTTGTCCCCCTTTCTGTAGGCGGTTAACAGCAAGGTGTCCGTCCGTCCCGGCTACGTGTAACGGGGTTTTCGCCTGAAGGAGCGCACCGAAGGGCAAGCCCAGCTACCGAGTTCCGTAAAAAAGCTGCTGGGGAGCCATCTGTCCTGCCGGCGGGGGGAGGGCGAAGACACTCTCTCCTTTCTCCGTGCTGTAGCCCCAGTGCCAACTACCACCACAACTACCGCCGCTGCTTCTGCTGGAATTCACAACAATGGCGACACCCAGCACCAACTCGGCGACCTCCTCCAGTCACGGCAGCGGCAGCCCCGGATCCACCGCAGCGTCTCATCAGCCCCAGCACGTAGCCACAGTCGGCAATATGCAGTGTAAGAACCAGACCGTCGCGACCCCCGACCGGTCTTTTTTCCCTTCGTCTGGGTCAGACTGGAAGCGGCTGAATGTCCCCCAGCTGTTCCGGCTGTGCCTTCAGGGATGCTGCTTTAGCATTAGCCTGTTAGCCGCTTGTATTCACCTGCATTCGACATCCCGGCAACCAGGAAGGCCTCCGCCTCTGCTAGGCTACCTGGCCGGTTTATTTCTCAAGGTGGTTTTTTGGGGAGTTGGTTTCGAACAACGGCGGCGGTTCCATTTAGGAAAGCCTGTTATTTTCGGCGGTGTGTGGACGGACGGAGCGCCGGCCGGGCGCGAGCAGTTAGCCGCGTGATGTTAGCGGAGGCGCAGATAGCTAATGCGAAAGGTAGGCCTGCGGGGGACGCTTGGCAGTCAGTGTCACAGTGGTACCATTCGGGCTGGTCGGACTCTGTTTTTTAGCTTCTCCTTTATGCAAGCTGCCGTCGCGCACGGGTATGGAGGTGTGTTTGTGTTGCGACGCATCTCTCCGGCGCCCCTGTAGGAAGTCGGGTAGCGCCGTTACTAACGCCGCAGTCCGAGGTGTGCTGGTGGATTGATCGCTGGTTATACGTATTGCTGTAAAAGCACAATCTAAACCTCATTTATGTATCATTAAAATATATATAAATATTCACCCTGCCAGCGTTAGATGGTTGATTCACCCGCTACCAGGTGTGGAAGGATATTTACAATAGTTTATAGTTTCATGGAAATGTAGCCAATTCGGTCTGCGGTCTGGTTTGGGGGCATGACGATGTAACGGGACGGTATGTTTCACTAGCAGTGTAACGTCCAGTTTAGCCATCAGAGCTCACCACATGTCGGGGGAGACATGTCACCAGCTGCTGGACACATAGCAGGGGTCTGGAAATGAATCTAACTTTACGTGCCGTGAACCAGATTGTGTCATGGAAGTTAAACTATTGTTGTTTTCTTAAAACATTGCTGATGAACTGGGTGTTTATGGGAAACTACAGGATACCAAGGCATGGATTATATTAGTGTTCTGGTTGATTAGATGAAAGTGCTTGTCAATTTTCAATACAGCATCCCTGAGCTCTTACCTAGGGGTTAATTTAGGCTACACCTGAATCAGTGCTTATTTATATTGTCCTTCAAATTTATGTGAAATTCTCTGGCTTGACAGTTGCGCTGTTGTATTATGGGTATGGGTCATCTGGGAATGTCTTCTGTGGAAAGGAAAATCAGGATTTTATCTCCATGTGATCTTGGGCAGTGCAGGTCACTTCTGAAAAATGGCACTTAAGTGCAGGCCTGTTTTGTCACTTTGTATCTACAATCACCAAATCAATGTGTACATGGAAATCTTGGTTATATTTTTGCAGTTAACTCATCTCTTTGAAATTCATTGCCTTGTTTGGTGTTTAAACACACGCGAAGGCCAATGTTAAAAGTATCCAGTGCAGATGCTTTTGTTTTAAGTTGACATTCATCACCATTTAATATTGTGTTGTGATGATCTAATGATATGTTCAGTATTCAGAGATGATTTTTTTTTCCCCCGTGATTTTTTTTTTCCTGTTCAGTTTTGCATGATGGGATGTTGTTGCCATGGGGTTAGGGTACCATCTAAAGGTATTATAAATGCAGCCTCTGCGTTGATTAAAGCCCGGTGTCATATTTATAGGATTTGTGATTATGCAAGTAACTTTAATTTCAAAAAGCCATTGCCTTTTAAACAATGGCATGGAATGCAAAACGGTATTCTCTCTGAGAAACCAAATGAGATGATTAACTTTTCGGGGGGTGTAAATCTAGCAGTCTCATGGGTAGTTCTATAAATAGTTGGTTCGGCTCAGTTGAGTCCAAAGCCTGCTGTTGGCTTAGTGGCCGAAGCAGGACTCCTGCATACCAGTTTCATTGCTTAAACCGAATGCCCTGATCTCTTAGCTGCATTTACTGTATATATGTATATTATCCTACATGTATTTCCCTGTTTTTGAAGTTGATGTTCTGTCTGTCATTGCGTCTGTGTTTGACCAAAAGAGCGTTAACACGTGGTTTCTCCCTCCCCCCCCCCCCCCCCCCCCCCGCCCCCCCCCCCCCCCCACCCCCGCTCGCTCTCCTCCTCGCCCGCCTGGCTGCTGCTCGATGACGGTGAGACGTTCTGAGCGTGCCGCTGACCTGTGCCGCCGCATCTCTCGGTCTCCTGTGTTCCTGTCCCGATTGTCGCATGTCCATCTGCCGTGGCCGTACCGTCTCGGTCTGCTCCAGTCATGCCGCTCCTCCAGCCCTGTGGATTTTCCCTTCCTGGATCTCTGCCCCCTCTGTCCCCAGTCAGAGGTTGGATGATGCGCACGAAGGTCATCCATCCTCATGATATGCAGGAGGATGTCCTTGAAGTGCTGAGATGTTTCAGTGATATTAATGCAATATATAGAGACCACCCTGCAAGCTGGTTTCTTCTCACCTGCTGCTTCCTTCGTTTGACCTTATCTTCTGGTTTGGTTAGCTAGCCTTGTGTCAATTTGACAGCCATCTTTTTTAACGCTGTTTGAAGTACAGGGGATGCTCGCTTGTCTTGGAGCCCCCCAGTCTCCCGTGATAAAATCATTGGCTTTGCCCTGCATCTCTCACTCATGCTGGTGGGCATTTGTGACCCAGTATGTTCTGGATATCCTTTAAAGGCAAAGGCAAGCTTATTCGTGTCAGTAACTGGTCAGGATTTCAGATTAACCTCTCTGGAGCTCCTCAGAGTAAGCCAAGTTGCTTTGCTAATATATTGGCCCCCCTCTCGAGGGGCAGGGGGTAGTCTTGATAATTTTTGCCCTAAATTGCAGCTGTGGTTAAGGCTACTGTGACCTTGGTCTCTGTCTGGCTCGTTTAAATTTCACACCAATCAAAAATTGTTTGGAGAAAATGGTGCCATGTTTTGTGTCCAGCTCCAGAAAGTTCTGTATGGAAAAAAGGAAAGGATTGCTTAGGATTTCCCCTTTTGCTGAAATGTCCTATAAATTGTCATTGACTAAAAACCAAATTGTGTGCTGATGTACAGGTTAAATTGAATAGAGGCAATGTCTAGTTTAAATTGCATTGGATTACTGCTTATGTGGTGGTTGGAACAGCAAATTGACTAGACCTATTTCCCTGTGATACAGACCTGTTTACTTGTGTGCTCTTGGGTGGGAGGCTTAAACTATACGAAAGCAAATATTTATTGTTGTTCTGTGATAAAATCTACTCTCTTATGTAGTTATAATGTTAGAGTAAGAACGTAACTGGTCTGGTTAGGTCCCTCTTTGGTGGTTAATGTGGGAATAACATTTAAAATCGCAGGTTTTCCAGTCCTTAGCAATTCTATCCTACAATTAACAAATCATACGTATGAGGTTCTGTTTAAAGACTTCAGTGTTAACCTGTAGGGGGCAGGAGTCTGATTCTCTAAAATCATTTTGTGGTCATTTGGAGAGCTGGTGTTTTTTATTGTTGCTTGGTGACCCAAGGACTGCAGAACGATATTCACTGCAAGTGAGAAGGGATCTGTCTATTTCTGACGGGACCCTCATTGCATTTTAGTTGTTCCCCACATGGAAAATGGTGTAATAGCAAGAAGGAATTTAAACATGTCAAGTCAGGTCTCATCAGTTAACTTCCCCAAAATACATTTATTTATTTATTTATTTATTTTTTTGAGATGTACATAAGCCAGCCAATGAAAATGCTTGTAACGAATGTAGCGTGAGACGTACGCTTTGGCTTAAGTGCAGTCAGCTTGCTGCTTGGTATTAAGTTCATGTTTTTAGGAACGTAATCGTTCTCTGAAATCAGGAAATGGGCTCAAACTGGAGACAGATCTCGTTGTTGTCATGCGCCATCTGGTGGCCAGACCCATTCGCCTGCTGCTCCTCCTCTTTTGAGGTATTGGAACAGACTGTCATGGTCTGGTGGATATTATCCATTAATACTGGGGGGGCAACATGCATTCCCACCCCCCACCCCACCCCCCCACTCATTCTCTGGTCACATTCCTGTTTTTTTTTCTTTCCTTAACACTAGCTGTATGTGGTGTTGCCATTTTTGACCTTCATGGTTCCTTGTGTGCCTTGCTAGTTGTGCACTCTGTCTGTGTCCCCCTCAATGGCCACAGGTAAACGTAAAGCGTTGAAGCTGAGCTTTGCCAGTCCGCTAATCAAGCCCAGTACCAGGTTCGCGCTCAGCACGCCCGGGCCTCCCTTTCAGAACCCACACATGTAAGTTGCCGGGGCGCCGGGTCACTGCCGCCGGGCTGAGCGACCCCTCTGAGTGGGTGGCGTTTCTCATAGGACCATCAACCCCCCGCCTGATTTTTCAGTGAGAGGTTACGCACTCACAGCATCGAGTCGTCGGGGAAGCTGAAGATCTCCCCCGAGCAGCACTGGGACTTCACCGCCGATGACCTGAAGGACCTGGGGGAGATCGGCCGCGGCGCCTACGGCTCCGTCAACAAGATGGTGCACAAGCCCAGCGGCCAGATCATGGCTGTCAAGGTGTGCTGCCGTTGCTTTAAAGGTGCTTTTAATGTCCTCCACAGGAAAAATAAAAATCATTGCCTTTAATTCTCTTTAATTTCTCACTTCCTCGTACTCTTCCCCCTCCTCCCTCTCAGAGGATCCGGTCCACGGTGGATGAAAAGGAGCAGAAGCAGCTGCTGATGGACCTGGACGTTGTGATGCGGAGCAGCGACTGTCCCTGCATCGTCCAGTTTTACGGCGCTCTGTTCCGAGAGGTGAGCTTCCGGCCATACAGAACGCTGGAACGATCGCTGCGTGTTTTGGTATAATTGAGTTTTGTAAACATTGGGCCAGGTGTCTTTCTGTGTGTCGTACAGTTAAACCGTGCGCCAATTACTGTGGTTCTGGATTTAGTCTTGCTTGATTTGTTTTCTAATTGGATGTATTACCACTCCACACCCCCACCCCCACTTCTTACTTTAGGGAGACTGCTGGATTTGCATGGAGCTCATGTCTACCTCGTTCGACAAATTCTACAAATATGTATATTGTGTGTTAGATGAAGTGATTCCAGAGGAAATATTAGGCAAAATAACATTAGCTGTAAGTCACTTTTTTTTTTCTTCCTCATGAATATGTATGTATTTGTTTTTTTTCTTCCTCCAGTGACATGTCAGCATAACATCTTTTTGTTTCAGACTGTCAAAGCACTTAACCACTTAAAGGAGAACTTGAAGATAATTCACAGAGGTAAGACCTAGTCTTAGAAATGGCTGAATGTGTTTTTTTTTTGTTTTTATTTTATTTTTTTAAACCCCAAATTTGTGTGTTAAATGTTCAGCCACTACCTCTACATGTTACTGCAGCTTTGGTAGTTATGGAGAGCTTTTGTTTGAAAAGACGTTCATTACCCATAATGCTTTTCGGCATGTATGCAGAGGCATGTTTCGGGTGTCTAGTGTATGGGGAACTTGGCAGTGCTGCAAATGTCACACTGTAACACTGTGTTCTGTTCAGATATCAAGCCATCCAATATACTCCTGGACCGGAAGGGTAACATCAAGCTTTGCGACTTTGGCATCAGTGGTCAGCTGGTCGATTCCATAGCCAAAACCCGGGATGCCGGCTGCCGGCCCTACATGGCGGTAGGTGGCCGGCCGACCAATAGGGTCTGTTCCTGTGATGGCTGTGGGCGGGGCCACTTTTGATCGCATGTGTTGCCCTGCTTGCCACTGTGTGAGGGTACCCTTGGGAACTTTCACGTGCTTTTTGTTTGCAGCCGGAGAGAATAGACCCCAGCGCCTCGCGGCAAGGCTATGACGTCCGTTCGGATGTGTGGAGCCTGGGAATCACATTGGTGAGCCGTCCTGTTTTTTCCCCCCCTCTGTAACTGCTCCACCCAGACAGGGGGGGACACTAGAGGCAGTATGGCTGCTCGCTGTGACCGCAGTGCGCTCTGTCTCCCGCATAGTATGAGCTGGCCACCGGCCGCTTCCCCTACCCAAAGTGGAACAGCGTCTTCGACCAGCTGACGCAGGTGGTGAAAGGCGACCCCCCGCAGCTCTGTAACTCCGAGGAACGGCAGTTTTCCCCCAAGTTCATCAACTTCGTCAACTTGTGGTGAGGATGGCCGGAACCTGGCTCTGTTGCCATGGCAACTCAGAGATTAGTTAAACTATATTTTAACGTGAATGAGAAGATGGGAAAAGGGTTGAGGATAGTAAGTACACACCTGTGTTCAATCAAAGGAATAAACCATAATAAAAATGCAGCTGAACTCATACCGCTGACTAAAAACTATACAGCAAGTTTCCCAAATGATCAATCCATTTTCCAGCCACTTATCTATCCTGCTCTGGGTTGTAGGGATTTTCCAAAATTACTTGTATTTTGCTATTTAATGTAATTATTTTGAACCTGTAATTTTCCATGATGTCGTTAGAGGAGTGTAGATTATTCATACGGATACGATAAGAGGTTGTTATGTTATATATTTTGACCAAGATACATTTATTATTATTATTTTTTTCCCCTTCACCATGTTTTTTGCACCTTGAAGCCTTACGAAGGACGAGTCGAAAAGGCCAAAGTACAAGGAGCTTCTGGTAGGTCTTCTGGGTTCTGCTGGGGGTGCCGTGGATGCTCTCGGTGTGTCTCCTGATGGACTGACGTGTGTGTGCACGTTCCCCCAGAAACACGCCTTCATCCGAATGTACGAGGAGCGGCACGTCAACGTGGCCAGCTATGTGTGCCGCATTCTGGACCAGATGCCTGCCTCCCCCTCCTCACCCATGTATGTGGACTAAATCTGTCCACTCAGCAGGGCGATCTCCTCCCTCATGTGCAATAAGATTCCTCTTGGTCACGTTTTTATGATGTCACCTACGCACGTGATTCTCTCATGCTTACATAGGGACTGCACACTAGCCATTGGTCCTACCTTCTTTTGGTGTAAGGCCTATTATGTGAACACAGTATAGTGATGAATCCTGGAATTATACACAAGATTATTAAGTCTCATTTTTGACCTGGAGATATTCAGTCACCATACTGGAATCATATTCTGTGTGAACTTTCACAACTCTTCCATGTATTTGATTTTAAATATTTTGTGTATCTTAGATCAAATCTTGCTTCAATAGGGTTATAAGCCAAGAACAAGGAAAGTTTAAGGTTTTTTTATTATTTATTTTTTTTGTCCCTTCCCTCTCCATCCCTTACCTGAGCACCACTGGGTATTGAACAGATGTATGTGCAATGGATTTAATTTGCTGATTTAAAAAAAAAAAAGAAAGAAATAAAAGTGACTTCCTTTATGCTAACTTTTGACTGAGGCATGCAAGGTGCTTGTTGAAAAATGTCATTCTATGTCTGCAGAATGGGAAAATGTGCAAAAGATCTCTGCAAGTCACTATAATACCATGGACCACATGTTTTAAGATGCTTTGTTCAACTGGATGTTTCTCTTTACAGCCCCAACTGCCTATTCTGTAATTGTTCCAACTCATTTTCACCAAAGACAGGCTACTGGGTTGCTTTCAGAAAACTTTTCTGGTTTGTAAAGGCCCGTGTTAAGAGTACGACATGTAACTGGATACGCTTACACTGATCCTGAATAATGTGGAATAGCTGAATTCATATGGTGACTCTGGCAGTGTAGGTCATACCTATGGATCTATGCCTCAACAGTTTTTCTGGAAGGACCTTTGAGCTGGTTGAGCTTCTTGATGGGTATGGACAGGCCCTTTATATTAGGAGTCCCTGGGATCAACTCTGATTGGCTGTGGTGTGAGCCAAAGTCCTGTTTCATTCTGCTGGTCCTCAGGTTCCACTATGGCAAGGACTCGCTGGGGTTTACCGTATTCCTTCTAGTAAACAGGGAGAGGAACAGCACTGAGTTACCACAGATGTTTTGCAGTTGAGACTGAAAATGAATGAAATAATAGTCCCTTTTTGGAAGTTGTAATCATTTTATTTTTAATGCATGTCAATGACATCTATAAATTTTAATGACAGGACTTGGTGGGGAAAGTTGTACAATTTTTAAAATTGCATTTTTTTTTTTAAAGAAATCTATCATGACCTCAGTGAGCACGCCATTAACTGTGCAGTTGGATCTCCTACTTAAAATTTATTTGAAATGATCTCAATAGAATGTTAGTATGACCATTTTCGATAAGAGATTTAAATGACATCGCTGTTTAAATATTTTTTGAATGTTTGACATCTCTGAAATACTATGCTGTGCACATTATTTTCTTCATGGTAGATGTGTAAAAAATAAGGCACACCTAAGTGACGACAGTAAATAGGACAGTGGTTATGTGTTAAAACGTTTTCACAAGAAATGTTCCCAGTGATTCTTTCTTCACGAGATGCTTGACTTTAATATTTAAGACTTAATTATCTGATCTCAGTCACTGAGGCCTCCTTAGATGCCCCTTTGCCCAGAGGTTGGATGTGACAAAGTCAAAACATAATCCTGTTATTTGGCATTGTAATGCTTGTTTTGTGAGGTCTGGAAACTTACAGTGGCAGAAAAATTATCAATAAAATAAATTTAACAATTCGCAGCTGCAACGTCTAACTAGCATTATTTGGGAAAAATGTTGTAAAAGACGATTTAACACTATAGTGGCATATAAACGTTACAATACATTTAAGTAGTCGTTTTTAAGTTTTTTTTTTCCTGAAACTTTGCTTCAGCTATTATTGTTGCATCGTTTGTAATACGACGCAAAACAATTTCAGATAAAATATATATTGCATAAATCGGGTCCCGGGCAAATGCCTTCGATCTGTACTGGCCGAATAAGAAAATCGATCCATTTTGCTGTGTATCGCACCATATATATTTTCTGCGGTAGTTCTAGTGACTCATAAAGAGGTTTATATGCAATCAGTTAATTATGTCGTGATATGTCCCGGCAATCACACCCGTGGAACAATGTGACTTCATTGCAAATTTGCAGTTTGTGAATTAATATATCATCTATTATTTTGACAATTTCAACAGTATGGAAGATCTTGGAATTCTTGGCATTGAACAGAAGTCAGTTTTTTGGATATCCGTTTGTATGTTTCATCTTGTGAATAATATCAAGTCAATTACATAATTAGTATCAATGGACGAATGAGACTGCGTATAAACAGGTTTGAGAAGCGCTGCGCTCAAAGTCAGGCATATCTGTGTGGCGTCATCATGCTGCGACGGAAGAAAATGCAGTAACTGTCACGTTGCTAAACTTATGTGGAGTATGTGTGGTCGGAGAGTTAGATATATAATGAAAATGTTATTGTATTAGGGAATTCGATTAAAAAAAGAAATTTGAAGATCTGTTACTGCATTTGCTGCCTTGATGTTTATTATAAGAAAAGCATTTTTTGACATAAGAACAACCGCCGGCCTATTTCTTAAATATTCAGCGACGGCTCAGTGTCGATGCTATTCCAATACATGGGTTAAAAATATTTTTCCTCGGACTCTTTTTCTTATATCGCGGGCTATGGCCTCTAATACAAACAATAATCAGAAACCGAGACCGAAAAAACCCAAGCCTCCCAGAGACACCCTGCGACACGTCAAGATCAAGGAACACCGAAAAAACGTTGACTTGCACGGGGCTTCAACGGTATACATACAAGTAGTCGGAACAGGCAGTCGAGATAATGGACCATCGCTGTACGTTTTCTCTGAGTACAACAGGTAATGAGCGACGGAACCTGATTTTTTTAACGATATCCTCTCTGATATTAAGTTTTACACGTATTCTCCCGATACCGCAAATGTAAACAACTGCAACTGTTACAGGTATTTGTTCAACTGTGGAGAAGGGACCCAGAGGTTGATGCACGAGCATAAGTAAGTCGATTGGCAAAAGGCATTGTTTTCGCCATTTACACTAGTGTTTAGAATCCAATCCGTTAATATAATTTGTGCTTTACATTTGCAGACTGAAAGCCTCTCGCCTAGACAACATTTTTTTAACCAGGATGAGCTACGATAATGTTGGTGGTTTATGTGGTGAGAACATTAAACTGACGTCTGGCTTCTCTCTCCGTAATGCTTCCTTTTATTAAGTTGTAGGCAGAGATTACATAACTTGTATGAAACTAATTCATTCAGTCGTGTAAGGGCTGTCCTGAGGAAAATGTAGAAAACGAATAGTTTGATAAGCAGTTCTGCTTCAGTTTACGGCCATTTTGGCAGATAGAGGGACGCACATACCCGAAGTTCCCACCGGGTTCTCTGCGCTGTATTTCTCAGGTATGATACTGACGCTGAAAGACACTGGCGTTCCGGAGTGCGTTCTCTCAGGTCCGCCTCAGCTGGTGAGTTAAGCGGCTCAAGTTGGGCTGTTAGCCTCCATAATTTATCACTTGTAAGTACAGTTAATATTTGCTTTCCATTTGTTTCCAAGGAAAAGTATTTAAGTGCCATTCGTGTCTTCTCCGGACCTCTAAATGAAATCAAATTAGGTATTCAATTTTATAACATTCTCACTTGTGTAAATGTGGTTATTCTGATAGTTTAAAGGTTCTTGAGAAACACATCTTGTTAATGCTTTTATGTTTGGCTGTCGTCAAAGCTGTACGCCCCTACACTGAGCCACAATACTCTGACGAGACCATGTCGGTCACTCAAGTACCCATTTTTGGTGAGTGTCATCTCCGTTATTTGATATGAAATTTTAAGAATTTGAGTACAAGATGGAAAGAGAATTTTCCCCTGGGGATTAATAAAGTGCCGCTGTTTTGCCATTGAAGATGGGTTGGTTGCCAACTCTATAAATTTTGAGTGGTTTGATATCGAGAGGGGGCAATTTTGATCATTCAGGCAAATTTGGCAGCTGTTTCATTGTATAAATTGAAGAATCCCACTGTCCCTCCCAAACACACACCTGAACCCCGCCCCTTATGTTCTGTTTCCTTACCCCTTGTCTCTCTGATCTCCAGCCAAGCCTGCAGGACGCCTGCCCCCCTCCCCTGGGGCTGGGCCGGCCGACACTGGAGACGGCCCCGGTGAGCTTTCCGGCGGTACTCTGCAGAACGGCACCGCAGCCGGGATGGTGATTTCCAGAGTGCTAGGCAGCGTATGTGATGTGATGTAGCCCATTTGTTATGCAGGTGCAGGATCAACAGCAACCAAAGACCCCGATCTAGTCGTTGCCTTTATTTGTAAGGTGAGAGGCCGCGGTCGACGCACTCGGTAAGCTGGAATAAACCGGTGAAGTGACATGATGCCTTGTACCTCTTTCTTATTGCAGCTTAACCAGAAGAAAGGAAACTTCTTGGTTCTTAAAGCCAAAGAGCTTGGGTTACCCGTGTAAGTATTTGGCCAGAGAATCTAGCTCATGTTGTGTTTGGTTTATTTGTAGGTTATGGGTAAAGGGATAAACACCCTGGCCCCTGCACTCTAGGGCGCCCCCTGCTGGTTTTTCTGTTTTCAAAAAGAAAACACATTGATCAAATGTCCACTTTTATATAACAATTGTGGTTAAAATATCGTAGCAGAACAGATTTCCGTTCCAGTTTGTCTGCTGCAGTTTGTTTACAGCTGCATCACTTCCTCTTAGAGCAGTTAGTAGAGTGACATCAGCTGGTTTAATGTTCATCTACAAGAAATGAGCAAATATGAAGAACAAAGTATGAATCTGGTGCAGGTAAATGGGGAGAGAGAGGGGGGAGGATGGACTTAATTACGGCTAATTGTGCTCCTCTGATGAACTGTGTTTGCCCCCCCAGCAAGTCTGAAGGAGACATTTCTACTGACAGAAAGGCGAAACCTTCGCTCTGCTCCAGGCGTTTTGCTAACTGGCCTGTGGTTCTGTCCGCAGGGGCACTGCAGCCATCGGACCCATCATCGCCGCCTTGAAGGACGGCAGATCGGTGACCTTTGAGGGCAGGGAGGTGAGAGTTTTCCTCATCTTGCGGTGGTGTTTTGTAGCAGTGATGGATGTGGCTAGTTTGGCTACAGGTTTCCTACGTTACTTTGGGAGAAGTCTTATGGAAGTTAAGAAAACGACGCTTAAATGATCTTCCTGTTGACGTAAAAATGTCTGTCAAAGTGAGTCTGCTTGGTCATTTCCAAACTTCTCCTAAAATCACCAGAGTTTCTATCACCCATCCAGTGCAGCCATGTATCTCTGCAATCGGCTGTTATCACATCAATACCTCATTTACTTTTATTTACTCAGATAAACTAGGTTGGTTGGTGGTGAGATTGAGCAAATGTAATGGCTAAGGTGCCCCTGAGGAGAGATTTGGGAACCGAATCGGCCATCTCACAAGACTAGTGACTAATGTCATACTTCCACAGATTCACCCTGAGGAAGTGTGCACCCCCTCTGACCCCGGCCACGCCTTCATCGTGCTGGAGTGCCCCTCACTGGAGTTTGTCCAGCCCCTCTGCACCAATGAGACCCTCCGCGGGTATCGTCATGACGACGTGCTTTAGTTGTCCTGGCCACTGATTTATTACCTGTCTGCAGAAAGGACATTCAAGACTTTTACGACTAATTAAAATATACTACCCCAGTATGACCGGCATGAGGGAGAACCTTTTATGAACCCTCCTGAAAGATATTAAACGGAAGTTTGCGTTGTTTTTGTCAGTCTGTACTGTACATGGGCGATTTGACGCCATCTTCTGGTCAGCTGCTGTACGGCAGTGTGTCTGAGGGACGCTAATGAATAGGTGTGGCTGTTAAAGTTGCTCCACATCTGCAGGTACCAGAGTGGTGGTCAGGTCCCTGTTGCATTGGTTGTCCACATGACCCCAGAATCTGTCCTAGAAACAGAAGAGTACAAGCAGTGGATGGAGAGGTAAGTCCTGCAATGCAGAATGGAGCCACGTGACCAGAGCTGCACTTAGAGTGGCCTCAAGTCACATGACCGCTTTAGACCCACCCGACCCATGCAGATCCTTATTGGCTGTGCTGGCTGACAGGTTCGGGCCCACGACAGAGCACCTGATTCTAAACGAGCACGTGGGCACCGTTCACAACGTGCGGTGTCACAAGATTCAGACCCAACTCAACATGATTCACCCTGAGATCTTCCCAGAGCTGAAGACCTACATGGCAAAGGTAAGCAGAGTGCACAGATCACTACCGTCCGGTACATGTTGTTATGGCAAAGGTAAGCAGAGTGCACAGATCACTACCGTCCGGTACATGTTGTTATGGCAAAGGTAAGCAGAGTGCACAGATCACTACCGTCCGGTACATGTTGTTATGGCAAAGGTAAGCAGAGTGCACAGATCACTACCGTCCGGTACATGTTGTTATGGCAAAGGTAAGCAGAGTGCACAGATCACTACCGTCCGGTACATGTTGTTATGGCAAAGGTAAGCAGAGTGCACAGATAACATGTACTGGACGGTAGTGATGCCCAAATGAAGCTTCATGAACTACTTCTGTACATTTTGACCCCACTAGATGGTGCTCTTGGTTTGCTTTGGGGCATGAATTGAGCCCTTTTTTTAATAGAGCACTATCTGGAGGTGTCAGAAAATACAGCAAATGGTTCACGGAGCTTCATTTGGCATCACTACTGGATGGGATCATCTGTG